AAAACAATTATACACCACCACCACGTGGGATTTATCCCAGGTATGCAAGGCTGGTTCAACATTTGAAAACAATTTAATATAAAACATCATACCAACGGGCTAAGAAGAAATACCACATGATCATATCAACGGACACAGAAAAAGCATTTGACAAAAATCTCAAACCCACCTATGAAAAAAACTCTCAGTAAACTATGAATAGAGGGGCATTTTTTCTACTCGGTAAAGAAAATCCACAAAAACCCTACAACAAACATCATACTTAATGGTGAGAAACTCAAAGCTTTCCTGCTAATATTGGGAACCAGACAAGGATGTTTCTTCTCACCACTGCTTTTCACCATTGCACAGGTAGTCCTAGCTAATGCAATGAGACAGGAAAACAAAAAAACACACAAAACCCCACAGTTATACAAATTGGCAAGAAAAAATAAAACTGTCGCTGTTTACAGGTGACAAAAATCCAAAAGAATAAAAAAAATACTGAGCTAATAAGCAATTATAGCAAGTTTGCAGGTATAAAGTTAATTAAATTTAATTTTTGGAGACAGAGTCTTGTTCTGTCACCCAGGCTGGAATGCGGTGGTTCAGTCTTGGCTCACAGAAAGCTCTGCCTTCTGGATTCAGTAATTCTCCTGCCTCAGCCTCCTGAGTAGCTGGGATTTCAGGCACCTGCCATCACGCCTGGCTAATTTTTGTATTTTTAATAGAGACAGGGTTTCACCATGTTAGTCAGGCTGATCTTGAACTCCTGACCTCAAGTGATCTGCCCGCCTTGGCCTCCCAAAGTGCTGGGATTACAGGTATGAGCCACCATGCCTGGCCAAGAATTTTTTTTAAATCCTAGAACTAATAAACAATTATAGCAAAGTTGCAGGGTATAAAGTTAATTTTTCCTGCTGAGCAGTCTAAACAAAAGAAAAAAAAATAGTTAATTTTAAAAAGTAAATCACATTCCTATATACCAGCAATGGACAAGTGGAAATTGAAATGAAAAACACAATACCATTCACAGTGGCACACACAAAAATGAAATACTTAGGTGTACCTCTAACAAAATATGCACAATATCTACATGATGAAAACTGCAAATCTGATTGATGAGAGAAATCAGTGAAGAACTAAATAAATGATAGTATTCATGGATAGGAGGACTTAATATTGTCAAGATGTCAGTTCTTCCCAATTTGATCTACAGATTCAATGTAATCCCAATCAAAATCCTGGCAAGTTATTTAGTGGATATCAACAGACTGACTCTAGAGTTTATATGGAGAGGCAAAAGACCCTGAATAGCCAACACATTATTAAAGGAGAACCACAAAGTTAGAAGACTGGCAGTACCGTACTTCAAGACAATATAAAGTTACAGTAATCAAGACAATGTGGTACTGGTGAAAAAAATAGACAAGTAGAACAACACAACAGCACAGAGATCCCAGAAGTAGACTTACACAGAGTCACGTGATCTTTGATAAAGGAGCAAAGGCAATGCAGAAATGACAGTCTTTTTAAGAAATGGTGCTAGAGACCAGGCACAGTGAGTGGCTCATGCCTGTAATCCCAGCACTTCGGGAGGTCAATATGGGTGGATTACTTCAGTCCAGGAGTTTGAGACCACCTTGGGCAACATGGCAAAACCCGACCTCTCCAAAAAAA